TGGTTTGTCCTCCAGCTTGTATCCACACAATCATAGACACTTAATATGCAAGAGTAAATGTTGATTTTTCTTCCTTTTTCTCGCTGGAGTGCCAAAAGATCAGACAGCTTCTGACCATATGTTCAGCAGAGGAGAAAAAAAAAAGAAAGAACACAACTGAAAATAAATCAGGCAATAACATCTGTCTTTGTCTGCCGTGATCACAGCAAAAAGAAATGTGTGTGCACTTGTAGTGGATGTAAATACAAACATAAATTACGTCAGGCCTGTAAAATAAAATACAAATAAAATGCTTAAATGAAAGTAATTTGTTGATGACATTACCAATGAAATACTGCTTAATAGTAAGAGGAAATATCCCTTTCTGCATATGCAATCGCAAACATTAACTGTCTGAAAGTAACATCTCATCTCACATGGCCTCATGGGATAGTGAAGTGTCCAGTTGATACACATTTCAGAATCTCAAAGGAAGTAGTATGTCATCCATCCATTACTTTTTTCTGAATACTGTGAATTCTGACATATACTCTTTTTAAATACTGCTTTTCGCTTAAGTATTTATATACAAGGCATGTGTTTTTCCCTTAATCTTAAATAATTTGACTTGAAAACTAATACGAAATCACAAGCAGAATGGAACATAAGAATTAGATTTGTTTTTGACATCTAATAAAATAACATGTTTCTTTTTTTTTCTTCCCCTGGTACTCCATGAAAGGTTCCGTCACATCAGTGATGTTGAACAATAGGAGCACAGAAGCTCTTCCGTACACAGCTTTCAAATACGATGAAATGAAGAAGAGATGATGGTATTTGTGCTGCCGGGTGAAATATCCAATGGCGGAAAGGTTTGAAACAAAACTATTGCAGCAATTATGCAACTATAATGTTTCCTTGAGGGAGTATCACGACACAGTGAAGAAGATGAATGCTGGTGAACTAGTTGAGGTGCTTCACCGGTGAGTACTGGAATTAGCATTAAAGGTTCTCTAAGCGATGTGGGGCCAAAACATTTTTTGTCACATACATCAAACGTCTCCTCATTATCGGCTAGCTGCCTGTCCCCTAAACACACTGTAAAAAAACGCGGTCTCTGTAGACACCACAGGCTCCATAAACGGCAATAAAAACAATATCTCACCCGGACCACGAAACCTAACAAACAGTGTTCCAGCCAATCACTGGCAAGAAGTATTTGAGGGTGGGTCTGGGGGGTTAGTGCGCGTGCACATGAAGGGGGTGTGTGTGTGAAGGAGATAGAAGCATCAGAGGGAAGAAAAATGGCCGACACACGACCAAATAGACGTCGTTCTGAAGAACAAATTAAAAAGAAGAAGGAGTCGGATAAAGAACGTGCGAAGTTCCGAATTTACATCGGTAGCAAAGCTTTTGAACGATGGCGAGAACTCCGGCGGCAGAAGGGCTTCCAGTCCGACGTCAGGTTGCTCTGTTTTTGCTGGACAGGTGGGTAACGTTAAATAGTTTTTTTTTCTTCTAAATTGACGCTTTATGTTCGCCAAACCCACACAAGGATATAATTAGCTAGAACTATGCACGTTCACAATTATTTCAGGAAGGACAGAAGGGAGGGGGAGGAGATGAGATGCGGCGGAGGTAGGGTCTAGCTAGCCTCCGATTTGTTTGAAAATATTCCGAACGTCAACACCCAGGATCGCTCAGAGAACCTTTAAGCTAACATGCTGCTTTAGTAGCAATTGTTTGTTTACTCTCTTGTTTCCGGAAGTCATTTAGTAGTTCCGACTTCTCGATGACATCACGTATGTCGTTAAAGACAGCAAGTGATGACTGGTCGGGAAGCAACATGTACAGTAGTCTGACATGTTTCTTGTCCACGACAAGCCAAGGCACGACACGACACATAAAGAATTTTGGAGGGTTGGTGATGAGTGATGGGGAAGGTCGTTGGGCCCAAGGCTCCAGTGCACATATTCTTAGTGGCCCATGGAAGTGTGTCGTGTTCAGGGGAAATAATAATAATTATAATAATAAGTTTATTTTTTATTGTGCCTTTCAAGAACCCAAGGTCGCTTTACAAAATAATACAAACAGTTGACAGGCAAGAGACAGGCAATCTGCTAGCTATAACAATTAAGCAGATGGAGACAACAATAATGAATAGATAGGCAAATAAAACATACATTTTGATCAAGAAAGCATGTAACAAAGAAGTGAAAAAATGGAGGAAAGATAGATAGAATGAAAAACAGTTATTTACTGGGCATGGTGAATATATGAGTATTAAGATTTGAATGTCTGTAGGTTAGTGGGTGGCATGAAGATCAGATGGCAACTTATTCCACAGCTTGGGGCCAACAACACTAAAAGCCCTTCCACCCACAGTGTAAAGTTATCAGGGTTTATTTGCCTCAATGTCTGCCCAAACTTGAAAAAGACGATTAAATCAATTTAGAGGGTGCATGGAAAAACTCAAAACATCTGATTCTTCATCATAGAAGCAATTTATTGAAAATCTTTCAGCTATGACTTGATGTTCTTCTACTTGTTTTCAATGTTTTATTATTTCAGACACCATATTAGTTCATTTTTTCGAGTCTTCGGGTTTGAGTCCTTCGTTCTTTTGTCACAGTATTGAATAGCCTACTAATTAACAAACTTTTTACAAACAAGCACGTAATGTTTAATACAATAGTAGTTAATTAATGTACACTATATAATAAAACACACCACAGATGCACAATATAGATAAGAGACAGACAGGGACAATAATAAGAACTTTTATTTTTCAGATTATGTTTATTGCATACATTTTGTATTTTAATCCCTAAATATAAAACAATATACATTCAGATGCAGTCAATAATATAAATCTAATGTTGTATTTGATGCGAGATACCTGCGGTCATGTGACAAAAGAACGAAGGACTCAAACCCGAAGACTCGAAGAAAATGAATTAATCATTCTTTTTCTGGTACTGACAGCATAGCCTCTATGGGACTGACAGGAAGAACGAAAGACTCGGACCCGGCCGAACTCGAACTCCAGACTCGCATTAAGCAGCATTAAGCTATAGTAAGTTATCATACATCCATGTTTTAAGTTCCTGAAGGCAAAAGAAAACAGAAGTGGTTGGACAAATTGAGTTGGGTTTAACCGTGAAAAAAATGTTAATATCATCAGCGTAACTATGAAAATTGAGACCATGCCGTCTGATGATCTGACCAAGTGACAGAAATAAAGGAGGACCAAGTACAGAACCTTGAGGAACACAATGAGAAATAGTGACGGTACGGGATCGATTCTCAGCTATCTTAACAAATTGCTGTCTATCATGCTTGCATACAATGTCAAAAGCTGCACTGAGATCAAGAAGAACCAGAATATTATGGGCACCAGAATCAGAAGCCAGGAGGAGATCATTTAAGGAAAGGGAGGTTTGACATTGTTGAGGCCGGATTTCTTTAGAATTGGAGTGATGGCCGTTACATTCAGATCATGCGGTATGGCAAGAGATACGTTTACAATATGAGTAATTGGTTGAATAAGTGATGGCAAAAGAGTTTTTAGGAGGTATGTTGAAATAGGATCAAGTGTGCAGGAGGAAGAATGTGATTTGATGATAAGTTTTTCAACCACAGATTTGTGAGTAAAAAAAGGTGTCAAGCGGACAGCCTGTCAAAGATGGGGTTGAATAGGAGGTTGCAGTTGGAGAAAAATATATATTTGCAAGAAAAAGGACTGAAAACTTTCACAGAGATCAACGGGTCCAGTAATAGCTACAGAGGATGGTTTGACCAGTTTGTTTATCTCTGAGAAAAGAGTTTTGCACTTGGCTTTGTTGATAACAGCAGAAAGATAGTCAGAGCATGCAATGTTAAGTGCTTCTTTATAATTGACTACTGAATCTGAAAAGGCCATGGTATGGACAAGAATGGAAGATTTTTTGTAAAGTCATTCAATATTGCCTACATTTTGTTTTCATAACTCTAAACTTAGGGGTAAACTGAGGAGAGGAATGGGTAGATGGGACCATTCTCATTATTAACGGAGTAAGTTCATTCAAAACATTACAAATAGATTCATCATGATAGGGTGAAACTATCTCATCAGGACATCAGGAGATTGAGCGAGGTAGGAAGCGCAGAAACAGCAATAGCAGCAGAGAAATTGTCAACAGTTACAGATCTCAGGTTACGGTAAGATATGGTAGTTTTTGTTTTTGTTTCTTTCAAGGGGAAGTGAGAAGTCAAAGGCAATTAGTTTATGATCAGAGATACCCAAATAACGACCCTGAGCATGCACATTTTCAATACCAACAGTACAAAGCAAATCGAGAGTATGACAGTGAGAATGTGTGGGGAAATCAATATGCTGAAATACTTCAAAATAGTCCAGAACAGACATGAAATCTTTTGCAGCAGTACAATCAGAATCAACATGTATAATAAAGTAACTCAGCATCATGATTCTATCATGCCGGGCACAGGCGAGAGTGAGAAGTTCAGTCAGGTCAGAGTAAAAGTTTGTATTATATCTAGGGGGTCTATAAATTAACAAAATCAAAAGTGGAGCGGGACCAGCAAGTTTAAGTGATAGAAATGTAAGAACATCAAGAGCGTCATAATTTAGACACTGTATAATTGTTCTTAAAGATCATTGCCAAACCAATACTTCTGCCACTAAGTCAAGGTTTTGTCAGATAAATATATCTGGTTAAGACCTTATTTATTTATTTATTTCCCTTTCTATTGCTATTTTGTTACTTTTTATCACATCTGTGGTATCTGTAAGATGTTCCTCTTGGCAAACACGCTTCACAATCGGTCAAATAAAGGTGTTCTCCCATATCATATGAACGCAGCATAGAGACTAGCTTTTGATAGGGAATTAGGCATGTTTACATAAGATGTGTTCAAAAGAAGTGGAGCACAACTTAACAACTGAATGCTGCAACAGTACTCTTCGAACAACAACAACCCGCCTGCCCCGCGTGGTATAAGTAAATGTATGAACTTACTGTGTTGGCAATGGATTCCATTAAAGCCTGATGGGCACTTGCAGACGTATCCAATGAATGTGTCGCCCCTGAACGTTTCACTGATTTCACAGATGCCTCCATTGTGACAAGGGTTTGGATGGCAGAGTCCTGTAAAATAGACAAATATAAATAAGAAGGGTTTTTTTGTTGTTGTTTTTTTTTAATGGGCTAACAGATGGGTTAGAAACAGACATCAGCAGTTTAAAACATTGCTTGCAGTGTAAGCTTTTGCATCTCAAGTGCTTGAGGGATAAAGGATATCCTGGGCACTGCATTACCTCTGTGTTGAGGAGAGAGAGAGAGAGAGATCTGGCATTTCACTCACTCACAAAAAAAATCAATTAAAGAGTTAAATTGGAGCAAAAATTTCACAGTATGTGAAAAGGTCAAGGTGAGGTTATAGAGCAATGCTATTTGACCGGATGTCACTTTTATGATGTTATAAGAGAATGATGGATTCATTAAAAGTATGACATGTGACATATATTAGGTACGTATATACTGAAATATGTTGCATATGTACATTTAATGTAATGTGCCTTGGCAGGAGCATTGTCTCCCCAGATTATTCTGATTCCACTTGAGTTTGGTTTCCCTCTTTTACGCTGTAAAATATGAGTCAGCAATAAGGTACGAGAGGCTGTGCTGTATTGTAAATAAGCAACGGCTGAAGGGCGTTGTTAGGCACGATGTGAAGTAGAGTGCCTGCAACCCCTTCAGCCGCTCACGATACAGCGCCTCAAGTAGCCTACCGTATTGCTTTTATAAAACGGTTACCACACAATAAAAATATTAAAGTAAAAAAAATATATATATATATATATATGTGTGTGTGTGTGTGTGTGTGTGTGTGTGTGTATTAGTGCAACTTTCATGAAGTAAAATCACTAAAAGCTTTCTTTCCGCTAGAAAAAATAGTCCCTGACCATGCAAAAGCAACAACATTCCAATGTGTAATATGCATGAAAGCTCAAATAAAAAAAACATAGGAAACGCAGTGTTGTGCAGTGATAAATAGAACCGTTGGGTGAAGCGGTCATAGTCGGATTTTATCATGAATAAAGCACAGATATTGACCAATCAGAATCAAGTATTGGAACTAACCGCTTTATAAGGTGATTTACAGACTTTTTGGAATCAGATACCAGATACTTATTATTATTATTTTTTAAGTAATCTCCAGGGTGAACTTGAAAGTAAAGTCATGATTCCAGCAATAAACCAAAAATATATAAAAAGTAGATAATTGGTATACGTTTCTGTACAAATTGCATGAAAACAAATACAAATTATTTTATTTTGCTCAATATAAACTATTTATTGTTTGTAATATGTATTTATTTCTATGGGAATGTCAGGGGTCAGTAAGAATTTTAAATGATTTTGAAAGATGTTTCTTCCTCACTCAGTTTGCATTTATTTTGAATACAGCAAATAAAAAGTAGATAACAAATACAGTACAAACATTAATAAATAATACCATAATTTAAAATAACTATTTAATTCATTTTAAGATACAATTTATTCATGTGATAATTTATTCCTGATCACGCCAAGTTGAACTTTCAGCATTCATTACTTCAGTGTCACTGTCACAGTCCTTCGTCTGCACCATCCTGTCTGCGTCTCCAGCACTACACTTCCCATGATCCTCTCGTCTGCACACCTGAACTCACTCCCTCATCAGCCTCCCGTTCAGCGTCCTGTTCATCTGTATCACCTGTCTTCACCTCATTAACCCTGATTCCTCTGTGTATTTAGTTTCCTCTGTTTCATTCTGTCCTTGTCGGTCAATGTTCCATGTTACGCTGTGTATCCCGTCTTCCTGCCTGTTTTTGAATTAAATGTCTCTTATTAGAGATCTGGACTCAGCCTCTCCTTCTGCCTGAACCCGCACCGTGACAGTCACATGATCCTTCAGAAATTATTCTAATATGCTGATTTACTGCTCAAGAATCATTGAGCATTCTTTTATTATTATCAATACTGTTTTGTGTATTACACTTATTTGATCAAATAACAGCATGTATAAGAAATCTTACCATTATAAATTTATTTTATGTGCCCTTGCTTAATAAAAGAATACATTTCTTAATCTTAAAATTCCAAATAAAAACTCAATTGATTTATACAATTTGCAACAACAGGGTAACACTGAAAGTGGCCAAATGGTCAAAACAAATATTGATTATTTTGCTCACTTGGGGCAATAGTTTTTGTAAAGCTAATTGTGTTGTTGTGTGGTGAAAAGTGACTTGAATTGATTTCATTTGACTGGAACGAGTGATGAGATTTCCATTCTTCATTGGTTTCTTAAGGATTTGAGTGTCCCCACTCTAAATGGAAAACCACTTTGATTATATCGCCTTTAAGAAAAAAAAAAGTGAAAACAAAGTTGCTTCTAATCTTTTAGTCTTCACAATTCAAGTCAAGCTCATAAGAACCCCCAGAGGACCCATATTTCATGGCCTATCAATACCATACTGATGTTTAAAACATTAGAGTGCCTGCATCGGGTTGCATGCTGTCAAAAGTAGATGAAATTGCAGGGCAGTCAGCTTAATCTTTCAAAAAATCAGTCGCAAGTTCTGCAATAGGGCATGGGTGGAATAGAGAGATGTATTACAGATATAGGATCAATGTGCTCTCAAGTGCAAAGACCGACAAAATGTAGATTGTTCAAAAGGCATATAAATAGGATCCTAAGCAGAAGAGATCTGGATGACATTCTACAAAATATTTGATTGTACATGCAAACCGAAAAATATTACACTATTCAAAAGTTTGGGGTCAGTATTTTTTTATTTATTTTTTTTTTTTTTAAGAAATGAATACTTTTAATCAGTAAGGATTAACTAAATTGATCAAAATTGACATAAAGACACTTGTAATGTTATGCTGTTATTTTTTAAGTTTCCATTAATCAACATATCCTGAAAAAAAAAAAATATATATATATATATATATATATCAACAACAATATTAGCCAGCACAACCGTTTTCAACATATACGATACTAGACATTTTGAAAATAATGCTGTAAAATAACATTTTATTATCACATGACCCTAAAGACTGCAGTAGTGGCTGCTGAAAATTCATCCTTTGGAATAAATTTCATTATAAAATATAGTTATTTTAGAAAATAGTTATTTCAGAGCATAAGAGACTTAAAACGTTTCAATTGTATAGTGCAAATCACTTTTTTTTTTCTGCTGCTTTGTACATTCAAATATGTAAGTGTAGAAAATGTTTTGTCTTTTATTTTGTAATTTACGTGCGCTTCCAGGTGTGACGGTCACATGGGTATTGGTGGGTATATACCTGATAGTGTTTCCTGTTTGGGGTGTGTGGAGAGGGGGTGAGTAGCGGGGAGTGCTCACTTTCTGTTGACCGTTAGCATGTATGTTCTTCATTGTTTCTGCGTGTATGTCAATAAAAGCTACTGAATATTCAATGCAAGAAAACGCGTCACGGATATTTCCTGCTGCCTAGCCTCTCAGCGGCTATAGGTTGCCGCTACAAAATATATACATGCAGGCAGTCAGGACAATTTGTCAATTTGTTAGTAGTGTTCTTAGACAACAACATACTTTAAAAAAAAAGTCACTAAAAGAAGATATGTGACACAGAAGGTAACCCTATCAACATTTGTGAATTCCAGCACTGTATCGTATAAGATATAATGAGAGTAGTAGCTAATTAGAGGGATACATCATGTAATAACCTTGCCAGAACTCTATTAAAAGTCATCTGCATCCTGAAGGAGAGGGTGACAGCTAAGCCTGCATTCTGACATGACGATCTATAACCGCACAAAGCTTTGTGACAGCCCCCTCTCTACCTCCAGAGAGATGGAAGTAAGAAGAGGGAGAGCAAGACAGGCATGGAGAGAGACAGTACGAAGAGGAGAAACGGGAGCGAAAGAAAGGAAGGAGGGGGACGTATGCCCCATTTGCACGTTCCTGAGAGACATCGCCAGGCATTGTGGCCAATGAAACAAAGCTTTGTCCTCTGTGCTGTTTCCTTTTGTGGTGCAAGTCAGGGGGATCAACAAGAATGTCAGCCGTTGTTGGGAGGCTCGTGCTTGTGGCAGGAAAGTAATTGATGTTGGCTGGCTCACGCATCCCGATTTTTTCTGACAAGACACAATGGAAGCCAATCTATCAGACGAGCCCGGCTCCAATGCAGAATAGTAAATCCTCAGCGGTGGTTAAACACAGCAAAGCGCCCGATGTTTCCCGCACAATTAATCACTCTCTGATGGACGCCTCTGTCTAAATTCCCAAAAGAGAGTTCATTTTAGTTGCTCACTTATACGAATCAACTCAAACTTTATTGAAGTGAGACGGGTAAGCAACCCAAATGTGTTTCACTCTCTAATTTATTCATTTATGCAGATTGTGGGTAATGTCACTGAGATGGTATGGAAATTGTAACGTATTAATATGGAGATATGGTGATCACTTGGTTGGATTATGCTAATTGCTTGTGTTGAAGGCTGAACCTGTGCAGGCTTTTACTGCACAAACCGTTCACCCATCGATTGGATCACCTATATCTAACTTCTGTGTTGTTCATGCAAATAAAGCTGTCACTAAATAAAGCAATCCATCTAAGATAATTACACACCCAACCATCTATAGAGCATCAAATAAAACAAATAGCCCACTGGATAATTGTACCTTGACATCCAGAGGAAGTAGGTGTTTTAATTGGAGTCCCCTCAAATGCTCTCCAGGGTGAAGGTGATGGAGGTTAGAGGGGCTCAGACAGCCTCCATGTCTGAGTTATCATGAGCAGATTGAACCGAGCATTTGGGAGGTAGAGAGGTGAGCAAGCGAGCAGCTGGAGCTCAAATCAGACTTCCAGTAAAGCCAAATTGAGCAAAGCACCAGCGCAGAGCAACAGTGAGGTCATGTTCATATGACCTGTATGAGGCTGGGGACTCAAGAGAGCTTTCTTTCCCCCACTATAGCTATATCAACCATAGCATTTTTATTTATTTTTTTTATTTTTATTTTTTTATTTAAGCTAGGAGATAGTTTGGTTGAACATTTTAAAACAAAGAAACTTCGCAATGTATAATCAATTACAAATATAATAAC